CCCCTGACTATAGAAACCACTGAACATCCTTTATTAAAAGGACTGCTCCTCCAAAGACTAAGGCAGCGTTCAGACTTCGCGACGGCAGCGCGTTCAACGCGATCGATGCGCATGCTTTCCGCGTCGATCGCGCTAGCCTTCGCGAAGTGTGAACGAGGCTTAACTCCTCCGTGGACCCTGCTTGTGAGGTGAATATGGCCGTAGCTGCAGTACTGCAGCCCTTTCTCGGCTCAAAAGTGCACGGGAAGGAGGATGGAGGGTAGTGATACCCGGATGCCCTCTCCATGCTCCGCCCGCGCTGCTGCACGACCAGCCAGACACTAGCTATAGCCAGTAGCTTTACTTCTCTTCGCCCTTTGCTTCTGGTTGTTTTCTACCGCCCAGTGCGGTAGAAGTAGCATAGTCCCAAATGCTGCACATTTTGGATAACTGGAGCCTACTATGAAGATGGCACCCGAGTATCATTACACTTCAGCCCCGTTCCCAAGCTTTTTCGGCAGGAGAAAGTGGCACGCGACTGCAGCTGTGGAACCACTCACCTCACATATGTAAAGGACAGCCCTCAGACGTGGGTGCACAGTTTGCCTTTCTACACATTTAAAATTGACAGTATGACATAGTCCAGCCTGCCATACCGCTCCCTGGCGCTGTTCGGCGATGAGGGGAGGGGGGCATTTTGCACTTCCGCAGCATAGATTCTGTGATGGACCGCGACGGACAATCGTGGGCCACTTCCACGGCTGAAAGTCGTAAGATAAGTGACTCCACCTCCGGACCCCGCCCTCGGAGCTTGCCTTCTAGCCAAATGCAGTGCTACCTTAGAAATAGCATGAAACGGATGTTCCGTACTCTTGTGGGGGTCATACGGTTCATTACAAGAGATTAGCTGACTGGATTCGTCCCAACACGCGGTCTTTTGGCTTTTACCCGAACAATGAAGAGTTTGGTGTATATTGAATGTCTTATTCAAGGCGTTTTCGACGTACGCTTTGGCATTTTCTCTTCACGGACGAATCGCTTCGCAGCTTTTCCTCCATGTTTCAACACCATTACCTACGCTCCGTATGGCGGAGCGTGCCTTGAAGAAGGTGGGCGGGCCAGCGAGGAAACTAATCCAGAAGGGGGTGCCGAGGGTTCCAAGGTACAGTTGGCACCGGAGTATCGGTGGGTTCAGCTTCACCCATACACCAGTGCCAACTGTACCTTGTAACCCTCGGCAATTGATGTTGCGCCCTATCTCGTGCAGATTAAATGTGTCTGAACTCGTGCATACTCCACCCAATCGCTTCACTTACGCGTTTTGGCGGACATCACAATCAACAATAGTAATAGTAAGATAATCGCACTCAACACACCTCGCCAGTCCTCGCATCCGAGTTCCGCTGATGAAATCGAAGTCCTCCTTTCTAGGACGGATCGAAAAACGCCATTTTCCCGGCCTGGAACGATGTACACACAATTTCTAAGAAAAAGAATTTCAATGATCCGACAAAAAACCGTCACGGTTTCCAACGGCGTGATGCCAAAAGCAAAAATCTAATAACAGAGCAATAGTGGCGCTGCTCACCTTTTTGTCATACGCTGCAACTCGGAACGGTAGAATATGTAACTGACTTAAGCCAGGCGCCATTGAAAGTACCTGAAACACTTCAAAAATAAGAAAAAGTAGAAAATTTTAAAAAATAATGTTTTGCGTTGATCAATCCCTTTGTGAGATGCGACATGCAAGATTCTAGCTGCATTCGGAATCCTAATGACTTACTGCATGCGACAGGACCTATGGAACGACTACTGGGGGTCAGCCGATGTACATCATCAGTGTTCTTATCGTCCCAGAGTATCTGCTATCAAATTCACCGTCTCAGGGGTGTAGAAGGTTTGGTTGGCCTGGGCGGGACCCGATCGCGAAATTTGCATCGGATTGCGCGCGTGGTAAGCGGTCCGCTTGCCACTACACCACCTCCACCCATCGCATTTGAAGAATGAGACAAAAAATATTCTTTCGTGATACACATGTTTCCGCGGTGCATTACATATTCCAGTCATGAGATACGTTAATGAGGCGCAGTTCGGCTTAGGGGGGAGGCATTTTGTTGGTTTCCACCGATCACTGCCTCCCGGGGAGACATTCCTATCTTTTGTAAGGCTATGCTGTAGGCTTCGTCCATTCTTGACAAAAGTTTACAGGTCTGACCAAGACGTACAATTTAACAGGAACTAGCAATAGAAACAAGCGCAAGCGTAAAGCCTCACCCCCTAAGCCAAACAGCACTCAGTATTCTCGAAATATTACACAATCGAAGTAATTCATTTTCATTAGTAAATATTTCCTATTACACTATTACACAGGAAGGGAGTGAGTACGTATCACATTACAACAACAAGAACCATATAAGTAACATACATAAAACAGGAAAAATCTAGAACCTCCGATTTTCCCACAACAATTTCTCTTCACGCAGGTCTCTCTCAACAATCCAAACACGATACTTCTCTTTAGAGATTCAATTACCTATCGAAAACCAGAAAAGCCCGACGGTAATGGGCCCTGTTTCTGAGACAATGAGGGGCGTGCCGATGAGGAAGACTCATTGAGAGGCCTGACTAGGATTATCAGCGGGATCAGCTAGCAGACGCTCGAAGGGGTTTTCTCAACATCTGATTCTCCTGCATGCGCGACGATGGCCCTGTTGCCGCGCTCGTCCGGAGGAGACGGTCAAGACAATCGTAATTTGCCGTCACGTCGCGTGCGGCAATTGACGCGGCGTTTTTTTCAAAGTTGGAATGGCCTGTCGACTGTAGCACCGGATTTCATGTATACTATGACATCAATACGACATTTATGGCTATTTCTGTTACACATTGTCGGCGCAGTTCGGCGACGGCGGGGCATTTTGCACTTTCACTGCTTCACTACCTCCGATTTACCTTGTCCCACTCTTGTAAGACTTGTGGACTACATGGTAAAACGTGTCAACTCAAGAAAATGCTATCTAGATGGGTCGACACATCGATGGAAAGCAAAATCCCCCCCCCCCCACCGTTGCCGGACTGCTCCCACGTTGTCTATCAACCTATTAG